AGCTCAAATTTGTTTCTGAGTAAACCACAACCAATAATGCCTAAGAAGAAAATTAATAATTAATTATCATGGCTTGCAAGAACATTGGAAAAATGATAAACCTCATCACTATCGTACAACAGTTTGGTCGTGGCAATTTACATAGCCACCTTCATTAGATCTCGCCCAGAAATAGCACTTGATGCAGCTTGTTAAAAAAAATGCAGACTTCTCACCAGTTTTCAACACTTAACCTTTGTTTCCCATACTTAACCCCTTAAACTCTGATGAATGACCAAGAAAACTTCTCCTGGCTTGCAATATCAATGCAATATCACCACAAGCAGACAAGAAAGTGAGAATGAAGAAAAATATCAATTAGGGGATTATTAGTTGATTCGCTACCAAATTCTCTGTACTGATATTGGGACAATTGTATGCAGAAAGTGAGGAGAATTACTAATGAAATCTTAGGGGGAAAAGGGTTTAAAATAACTGAAGATTCTGTACAACCCTCCTATCCAACAAACATTGCAGTCAAAAGGCATCTTTCTCAACCACAGATAACTTCATTTTGCCTTGGAGTAAACAACAACCACCAAGTCCTGGTCACAAAACAAATAATTTATTATGATCTATCTTTAATTAAGCATGGCTTGCCAAAACATTGAAAAAGTGATAAACCTCATCACCATCATACACAGCTATTTCTGTGTTGCATTCTGTACAAGCCACAGGGTGATAACATTCTGACAAGGAACTGTCAGCTGAGGTTGCACTGTCTTTAGTGAGTTGAACAAGTTTTCCCTTCTGAGCTTTCTTTCGCTTCTTCCCTGGTTTTTGTTGTTGAGATGGCTCATATCTTAGAATTTCATCTTTAACAACTTTACAGTTCATAACAAACATAGCTCTGTATTGGTTTTTGTACATGTCATGTCTGCAAGGAAGAAAAGATACCAAAACGTAAGTCTTTCTCTAAACCTGCTCTTTGTAAAAGCAACTGGAAGATTCTCTAATTTTAGGGACAATACTAAAGTTCTCCAAAGTTACTGAATTTTTTTAAAAAAATGTCTACTTTGTTAGTACAATTCATATTTGTTTGTTTTTTTTAACATGCACCAGAAATGAAAAAAAAACATCTTTTTAACAATGAAACCAACAAAGTGATCATGCAAAGGTTGCTCTTTGAAAATAGAGTGCAATTTACCTGTGTCCAAAATGAAAAAATTCAGAACCATACTTCAAAATTTTGATGCAGTTATTTACTTTTCTATTCTCCAATAAAACAGAATTTTCATCAACTTAAGAGGTTTAGTGCAGTTTGTAAGACAAGTCTCTCTGATAATAGTGTACAAGTTATTGTTACTGCAGTGCAGGAAAATAAATATGTGCAATTTACCAGACTCAAAACCCATTTAAAAAATTTTGCAACTTGCACACTAAGAATGGATAAAATTGTCTTTCATGCAACTGAAAACTCTGCCACTTACCTCTGACAGTCAATGCATAGTGTTGTCATACATGCTGGACAAGACAGTATAGCATCACTTGAAGGAACTTTTTCCACATTCTGTTTGGACTTTTTAGTTTTCTTTTTACTTGCTGAAGATTCCTCTTGGTTTTCCTCTTGGTTTTCCTCTGTACTTCTGACTGTGTTTATTCTTTGCTGTACTAAAATTCAAGTTGTCGAAAGGAAATGTTTCATGGTTATACATTATGGTATCCAAGTGGTTCCTTCTTTTAACAGTAGTGTAAATCTTGAAAAGTCCTCATAAAATGTTTGCCAGGAGACTATATACAATACATACCCATGGCAAGGACTATCAATGTGATTCTACCACAGTAGTAAGGTCTGCATTATGTGATGCAGTAGCAGGAGAAGAGTATTAAGTAACCCTTTCATTCCCAAGATCTCATTAGTGACTATTTTTACTGTTTGCCATGGATCTCTTATGAAGTTAGTACTGAGAATTTGGTGCTAAATGAAATAATTACTCCTTAACCCTTTAATTCCCAAGATTTCATCAGAAATTCTCCTTACTGTCTGCCATACAATTCATATAATGTTAGTTTGGAGAATCTGGAATTAGATCAACCAATAATCCCCTAATTGATATTTTTCTTTATTCTCATTACTTGTATGCTTGATATTGTACTGATAGTGTAAGGAGAAATTCTGTCTAGATCACTAGTGGGACTCAAAGGGTTAATTGATATCTTCTTGATTCTCATCACCTATTTGCTTAATATAGAACTAATATTGTAAAGAGAAATTCCTACTTGGTCATTCATGGGAGTGAAAAGGGTAACAGGAGGATTTACTACATTGGGTGAATATGGGCTCCGCTACTGAATTTGTCAAGAAAAAATGGCTTCACAAGCCATCAAAATTTGGAGGGATAATTCTTTGTAATAGTAGGAATTCACTGATCTCTGATATCAAATGTATATCATGGAAAAGAGGGAGGAGGACTCAAAGGTTGCTGGTTAAATAGAGAATTTAAGGTACAATTTGTACTGGCAAGCTGTCAAGTAGTTTATTATAAAATAACCCCTTACACCCTAACATCAGTATGCAAATTCTCCATACTGTTCTCTACAAATTGCCTGTGTTACTTATGAGAAGAATTTATCTCACAGTTAGGAGTGTCTTGGGTTCATGATTATTTCCTTTATTGAAAATGAAGTTGACTTGATATCTGGCATGGGATACTGCTATGTTAACAATTCGTCAAAATTAAGATGTTTTTTAGTTATCATACTTCTCTGTCTGTGGTCCTGTCTTTGTCTAATCACCCATTGTTCATCTTCATCATCCATGTCTGGATCGTACAACAATTCATCATTGGTTAACATTTTCCTCCTTTCCTTGGATTTTGAAGGCTGTCCACCAACCCGGTGTTCATCATCTGAACCTGAACTGAAGTAGTCTTCGGCATACATGGTATTGTTGTCTTCAGCAGCATCACCATCTTGAGTGTTGTTATTGCTTGAAGTTGCATCATTTACACTTTTCCCTGCAGTAATGTTTGCATTCTGATTACCTTGATCCTCTGAAAAGGAAAACATCATTTAAGATAATATTACTTTTTAACAACTGTAGTACATTAAAAAAAAATTCACTGTTGATATTAGAGATATCACAAGTCAAGACTGCAACAATAAATCAACAACAAAGTTTTCCAGTCAAAGGAAGTATGTCTTCATTGTGATTTGTATCATTCCTTGAAAATTTAAGTCAATCAAATACACCATTTTCAGACTGTGTGATCTTCTGCCACCATATACCCTTGATTTTTTTTCTTTTTGTTTGTTGTTATTATTTTTCTCCTCTTGAGGTGTTGCCCTCTCTGGCAAAGGACAGTTGCTATTTTCAAAATGAAGCTATCCCCGGATGTTTTACAAAACTACTCATAATACATGTGAAGTGACAGTAGAATTTTCCACAAAAGCAATAAAGGAATTAAAAAGATAAATGTGTAACCTCTCCATATCCCTACATTTTTCAGCAAAAAGCTAATGAGAACACTCAAACTTGTCAGGCAGAAGTTGTTATTTTGATCTAACACCAGATTCTCCTATATAATTCATAAAGAAGCATGTTACAGCTGATAGAGAGAGTAAACAATTAGATCTTGGGAGTTAAAGGGTTAAATAAACTGTTTACCATGATCTCCTGTATAACTTTTTATCACACTTTCCAGCTCAAGATCCATTTCCTTCTCAAACTCATCCTCGCTGCTGCTTCCTATTTCTTGCTTTTGATCTTTTAATAATCCCTCTGTGACAAACTCGTCATCAGAGCTGACAGCAAAGAAAAAAAAAACTTCATTCAAAAAGTGATTAGGGTTGTCTTTAAATCAGAGGAGCTGTTTTTGAATTGTGATCAAAGACAGAAAAGAAATATTTTTTAACTGATTCTAACATTTATGTCTGGCTAAAAAAATGTCTCAGAATGCTAGAAATATGTCTAAGAAGTTTCAAATTTCAATATTTTTTTCTGGGCAAACAGATACGTGCCCCCAGACTCCTCTGAAGGCCCGTTGCTTTGTGATATGCCATATTTACTAGGCAAGCTATGCAAGCATAATTCAGTTCAGCCACCAACTCTCCTCAGATCATACATCCCTTACATTTTCTTATAATCCTAATCGATAAGATTTAGTACGAGGACTAAACGCTTGCCACAATAGCAAAATACTGGCGACAAGATAATTAGATAGAATGTGACCCTTTGAGAATAACAACTCAAAAGGCTGCTTGATCCGAATGCAAGGAGGGCATTCATAACTGGTTCTTCACAGTCAGAAAATGTAATGTCTTTGCTGGCTTATATTTCTCAGGACTAAGGGTAAAGATGAATGAATGTAATAGTGTGAAACAAACAAACAAAAAAAAAAAGGAAGAATTTTGCATTGAAACAAAAGAGGGCTGAGAGCAGGTGACAGGCATTCAGGAAATTTCTAGATCACATGCTAAACCACACACTGACAGAGATATTACAACTGCAATTCAGAAATAAATTCTCCATACAGATTAAGAGTATGGATAAAATATATCTCAAAACAAATTATATGCACTGCTGCACTAACTGCAGCTGAAAGCTTCTTTTAATTTAATTTTTTAGTCAAATCTTCTGTGTAAATTTTCTCTCTTGGTGCAAACTTTTCTTTCCTGCTTAACGATTTACATCAGCAGAAACTGTCAAAAATGATTGACAAAGGTTATGTATCCATTTTCATTATTTCAGCTATTGTAAAGCTGTCAAATTAATCTCTTCCTTTTAAAGATGAAAAAAATGCAACTCGCAAAAATAACCACAGAAGCTGAAGGCGCATCAAAATTTTGTGTCAGAGGGAGTGTTTGCTACCAAGAAACGGATAAATTTTAAACCAAACGACAGATGGATAAGCCATGTAAATCCTTGTCATTCCTTCTTAACCAGGAAATCGTCACTAAGGGTCGCATGGCGTTTCATTTTACGTCATTCGCACATTTTTTGGAAACAAAATGCGACTGTATACAACCATTTTTACAGAGCAGAATCCAGACGGTGACAATACCGGCATATTTCCTGAGCATTGACGCACGTCTGTGTTAAAATTTGTAAGTTTTTGGCCGAAACACACGGAAACCAGGCGATCGCGTAAAGACTGTCTCCATTACATGTATCCCGAAAAGCATTTCATCGAAGTCCGAAGGAGTATTTGCAAAGCTGAGATTAACTGAAGTACCTCTCGTTTCCGCCATCGTCTGAGCTGCTATAACCTCCAATATTGTAAGGATCTTCTTCATCCAACACAATTTTCTTGGGAAAATTCATGATTTTCTTCGCCTGAGCGGAGGTTACTCGCCACATTTAATATCTCGTCTTCGATCTCGACACAGTGGAGACTGGGGCGAACACGTACTTGATCTATATCAGTTTTCTCGTACTACTTATCAATAGAAATCTTCATTTACAGGTACTGAGAATCTATTATTCATCGGTCCAGTGTTAAATAAACGACCTCGAAGTAATTGTTGGGAGGGTGCGAAAATGGCGTCGATTTCTGCGAAGACCACGTGCATTGGCTGGGAAGATTTCCTTGCTCTTCATCGACCACAACTACTCTCAATCGGTTTACCGGAACACTTATGGGAAAGACTTTACAAAAAGCTAGCGCCTATTCCAAGTTGTGACGCCACAGAGGCATTTGAGCTGCACAAAGACGAACAATTTGTCTCTTTGGGTCGTTGGTCTCTACACGCCAGACGGGCTTTGCAAAAACTTGGCGACGTGTTTCTCATCGAGCATGCTTGGTCCAGCGATGGCGGTGCGGCTGCGAAGAAATCTTTGGAAAAATCTCCGGAACTTTTGACAAGGGTGAAGGAAACGCTTGGGCACAAAGAAAACAACCCTGACGACGAGGCGGCCGGGGAAGCTCTATTAGACAGCTCTCTGGTTCTGTCGCAAATCGGTGGAATTAACGAAGAAAAAGCTAAAGAAGCGCTTGAGGCTACCGACGGTGATCTAATTGAAGCTTTGTGTCAAATCACGGACGATTCTTATGAAACTAAAAAATCGTCGAAATCTAACAGGTCAAAAATTATGACCTTCGAGGAATTCAAAACTGGCTTTCTTCACGGCGTTGGAATGGAGAAAGCAAAATTACTTTCAGAGGAATACATTGAAAAGATGTATTCCCGATACAAAAGGGAGAAAGAGGAGTACCCTGAGTCGATGGGCTTTGGTTATGGCACGACCTCTTCGTACAGTTGGTCGGAGGAAGAAGAGGGCGCTATGACCGTGCTAGTGTCTATTCCAGTAACGGTAAAAAAGCGGGATGTTGTGAGCAAATTGACTACGAAGCGGTGGACTCTTGGCCTGAAAGGATCTGCCCCTATCATCGATGGCGAGTTTTATGGCAATGTCTGCCCGGATGAGTCTTTTTGGACATTTGATTCACCTGGAGTTTTGGTCATGACGCTTCAAAAACCAGAGAACGAAGAATCGGAGTTGTGGCCAGTAAGTTTTCTCGATTTGATCTTGAGTAAATAGCGTATTTTCTCTCGAAGCAAGCGTGACAAAATCGTCGTTCCAAAATTCTTAGGGTGACACTCGCTTCGATCGTGTCAAAGATGTAAGGTATTTATTAACTAATTACAATGAAATCCGTAAAGTCGTACAAATTTGATGGAGTACACTTTACCTATTACGGCCAATATTAACGCAAACAGAAAATTTACTGTTTTCGTTCTAAGTGGCTTTGCCATCAAGAGTCAAGTGCGTAAACGTATTCTTTATAATCGATCCAATATTTGCATTTTTCAATAAAGTTTGTTACATCATTCTGAACATTTTTCTGGGAAGTTTGGTTCGCTTTTCAATTGTTAGGCGATTTTGAAGTGACCGTATTTCAGTTGTATTCTGTCATTTTGAATCTTTTGTATTTGAGAGATACCGAGTGACAAGTTTAGGTTGCCGAATTATAATTGCTCTTTGAATACTTTTGTAGAAATTCCACCCGTGCACTCATATCAATACAAACATCTTAAAATACAGTTAAATAAATATCTCAGTGTGTACTCAGGAGATTTTTTTTCCGTCACAATCGGAGCCACACCTGTAGTTGGCAATTTTCGGTGTGTACAGATGCTGACAATCTAATTAAAAATGTCTCTTTGAGAAGCCTCCGGCGAAAGTAACAAAATCTGCTTCATAGGGAAGCTAATGAAAGATCTTGCTACCTGTAGTGGTTGAGTGATCATGTTACAGCATAGAATTTGATATATTGCCAACCCTCCACATTCCATTTGCGTGGAACTGTGATAAAAGCCACTGTTGTGGCCATTTTGGAATAAATTTGGCTGAGAAATGAGAACGGTTAATGTGTTTTGCTGAAAACACCCTACAGCATATGTTATTGTGAAGTGAAAGTCCATTTATTAAAGAGACAAAAGCCCAAAAGCAATAAAGAAGGATTTTTGCTTTTTTTTTTTTCTAAATCATTCAACTGTGGCAAGTGACAATTCAATGATAGGGTATAACTTAAACTTGAAATTTGTTTTAATCATTTAGATCCAGACATCTGATCGGTAGCTGTCTTCTCTGTCTCTTACTTCTATGTATTTCTTTGTACAGAATTATGTTAGGGTTTTATCTGTGTTTTAACAGTGTTTGGAGAATATATTGGTTAATCTTGTCTCGAATAGGAAATATTGATAATGTTGATATACGTGTACTTAAAAGGTTTCATGTCACTGAAGTTATTAATTACTTCTCAGAGAGAAAATAGAAAAGACAATGGCAATACTTCTGTGCTTTGAAGGTTTCGGTTGAAAAAAATCTTGAAAATGATGTTGCAAAACAAGTGCTCTAAAGGTTTCACTAAACTAGACTAATTTGACCAACAGAATTATGTGCTAAATCTTGTATGCTCAGTATTTCTCCTTTCAAATCTTCTGCCTTAAACTTGTTTGGTTTCTCTTCCCAATTTCAGGTTTTGATTAAAGGAGAAAAACATTTAACAGAAAAAGAGATTTCTGATCAAGCAAGAGAGAAGGATCAAAGAAGTGACTTTGAACTAAGCAGTGTCTTAAACAATATGTGGTATTACAACCAGACCTATCAGGTAGTGACGCCAGAGGGTGATAAACGCAAACCTGTTTGGTACATCATGGATAAATTTGGATCTGCTATTGTTCATAATACTCAACCTAATGTTAAATGTTCACCTTTTGCTTTTTCTGTAACTGGAGTCTTCTGCTCCCTTCTTTGGCCTATTAGGGATTTAGACAAAGGAGAAATGTGTACTAGGAATTTTTGTCCTGCCCTGAGTGGAACAGAAACAAATCTGCAAAGAGAAGGACGACTTTTGGCTTTCAGTCCTTCCTTGCCTGAGAGTGTTCCAACAGCGTTTGTGGTTGAACTTTCAAAGTTTCCACTAGCAGCCAAAGAAAACAATATTGTGATCAATGTAAGCTCTTTAGAAACACCTGCAGCAAGTCAGAACTGTCTTCAATTGAAGGGCAAAAAACTGAATCTGAAATTCTTTATGGAGACAAATGGAAAGGAGAAAAGGCCAGTTCTGAGAGATTTAGGCTGTACCCTTGTAGAATCTATGTCAGAAGCTGAAGCGGTTTGGCTTGAGAAATGGAATACTTTGGGCAAGAAGGTTGGCTCTGAGGCAAGAGTTAACCGACTTGCTGGAGAAGAACACCTACTTCATCGCCAACTGCTTTCTAAGCAAGTTCAACAGGTTTGGGGCAATGTACCTTGGTTCCCAGTTTCTTATGACCTGTCACAGCAGTTGCCAGCTTTGTGTGCTGATCACTACACCCATGGCATAGCCAGTTACTGGATTTTAAGAGCAGCAGATCCAAGCACTCTCAGTATACCACCCATTGTGACCAGTGATCTACGCAGAGTCATCAGATGTACAGAGATGGGACAGTTGGTAGCTTCTCCATGTAAGTACTCACATGTTTTCAAATATCTGTCATTATTTCATGAACAAGCACAAAATCTACCATCTATTCTATCTTATTTACACTGTGATGAACCTAACAATGGCCAAGCTTCTCACTGTTTCTGTGGCTCAGTGGCAGAGCAAGGAAGGAAGGTCAGACTTTCAATTTCTCAGAGCAACTCACAATTTTTTCTTGGTCCCAGGACTGTTGCAAAATGAATAGTCATCTTTCTTATGGTCTCCCAATTCATCCAACAGCGTTTTAATTTATCAAGCGTTGGATGTTGTCCTTGAGTAGCATAGTGTTATAAAGTCAGACGCCTAAATCAAGTGAGGCCAGGTATGCAATGATAATTTAGTTTTCCGAGCTTTTGTGGATCTATGGCATCATGATGCTGGCCTCACTTGATTTACATGTCTAAGTCTTTTAATTGTCATCAGCTTAAAGTGTAATCAGGTTTCTCCGGAGGAAAGTCTCTTGCTTAGGGAACACAACACAGAGACTCAACCCAACTTGAACACAAACTGCAGTGACTGCTGCAGAATCCAGTTTGCTGTAATCACTAACACAACATTTTTGTTATCCTTTGTTTATTTTTTTAATCTTAATATAAATTAAAAACTTAAATAGTTTCTTAATCACTGGTTGTGAAACAGTGTTTGCCCCAGTCAGATCTATATAATCATTTCTCATGAGCAATATTCTATCAACAGTACTGGGCTTGATTGTGTCAATAGTTGTTTATTTTTTTTTTCCATTTCAGATTGCTTTGAGACAGTTTTTTACAAGAAGAGGCGTTTCTGTCTCCAGTATTCAGTCACAGTGAAATCATTGAAACCTCTGCAACTCTTGATACACAACACACCTCATGTTGAGGTGGCTGAGAAAGAGCATAACCCAAATGTTTTTTTTGATGAGTTTGAATCTTCAGATCTTGTATGTAGTAGCACTGAGCCAAAGAAGAATGGGACATTAAACCTCAAAGTGACTCATGAGGAGTTCTTAAAACACTTAGGCTCTAATTACTTGACAAAGAAGCAGATTACTTGGGATGCAATCCAGTCCGTGATTCATGAGAGCATTGCAAAGCTGTTTTATGCTGTGGCACCAAGTCTTTCAGCCTTTCAAGGACGCAGTGGAAGAGAACTCTGTGCTGTGTACGGTGTAGATGTACTACTGAAAGACACTTTTGAGCCTCTGATCATTGGCATCGATCCTACGCCAAAGTTTGATAGCCAAAAATGTTTTGCTGATGTACTGTTCACGGCATATGGACAGAATGGGGAGTGTTCAGAGAGTTCAAACATCAGCCAGATTTCAGTGAGAGAAGGCTGAAGTTTTTTTCCAGAGATGCAGTTTTTCAAAGTTTTTAAGGTATCGACACATGTAGTTATAATCTTGATTAGTGTGTACGTGTAAGTAAATAACAGCAGTAAATGATCAAGAATTATGTACATAGTATCTTAGATGTTGTACACAGGCAAGGATTTTTTTTGTTTTACATTTAGGAAAAGTATTTTGCTGTAGTATAGACTTCTCATGAATGATGTAATTTAGATATGATCTGTCTTAAGAGACTTAGATAAGTAATGCCATGATTACACAGCGATGAAGCTGAAGGAAACAACCTGATTTTATTGTGTGATTTTTTGGTGAAAAAAATTATAAGAAAGATGTTCTTCTAGACAATTCCTTACAATGTTGGTAGATAACTTTTGCATGAGTAACCCTTTATCTTTATAAAAGTGAAACTTGCTATTGATAAGTCATCACAGAAGTATGAAAATTTCTTATCCACTGCACTGATTTTTCAGTTGTAAAATAGTTTGTAGTTTTCTGGTTTGATTTTAGAACAGTTTGCATCAATGTTATCATCTGATGGAGAGCTACTACATAGGAGATAAATTGCTGAGATCATTCTTGTACAAGTTGCAGGTATGAATGATGCACTATACAACTCCTAGACTGCTGTTTGAACTTTTCTCTGGAAATTCCATCTTGGAAATCTCTAACATCCCAATGTGGATCAAAATCTGCAGATAACCTCAGTTCTTTTTAAGTTAGGTACTATACAAAATATGAAACTCACATCGGAACAGATTCACCAGCTGATTCATGTATATGGACATTCAAGTCGTCAAAAAGCTTGATACAGCATTTTAACTGCATTTTATCCATGAAGCTCTCACACCAAATACCATACTTACCAGTTGCTACTTTTAACCCTCTACACCCCAACATCAGTATCCATATTTTCTTTACTCTTCCCTGTACAAGTCTTTTGCTACTGACATGTCTGTTATTTTCATTATCTTCACCCTTTAACCCGTTAACTCCCATGAGTGATCAAGAATCATGTCCCATGAGACAGAATTCTCCTAACAACATTAATATAATATCAAATAGACAAGTGATGAGAATAAAGAAAAATATCAATGAGGGGATTACTAGTTGATCCAATACCAAATTCTCCAAACTAACAGACAGTAAGGATAATTACTAATGAGATCTTGGGAGTTAAAGGGTTACCTCCTATAAGTGACCAAGACAAAATTTCTCCTTTCAATACCAATACAATATCGACCAGATAAGTAATGAGAAGAAGGAAAAATATCAATTTGGGGATAACTAGTTGATTTATTACTTAATTATCTGAACAAACATTAAAAGAATTCTATGGTTGACAGTAAGGAGAATTACAAGTTTGATCTGGGTGTCAAAGGGTTAGTGAATGACTTAGCAGCATTACTGTGAGGAGAAATTACATGCTGGTCCTTTTTAAGGTTTAAAGGATTAATACCCTTGATTTGTAAGCTTAAGTTATTCCAGAAAAAAAGAGATCAAGCGTATTTGTGGGCCCTTCCCTTGGTAATTGTTGGAAAGTTTAACCTTTTCACTCCCAAGATGTCATGAATAAGTCTCATTGTCTGTCAGAGTTTGCATGATGTTAACTTGGAGAATTTGGTATTGGATTAACTGATAATCCCCTAATTTATTTTTTTCTTTATTCTCACCACTTGTCTGCTTGATATTGTGTTGATACTGTTAGGAGAAATTCTATTTTGGTCACTCATGGCAATTAAAGGGTTAAAGACAGTCCAGTTCTTTTTCTTCATATACATTTGAATTGAAATTTTTAAATACTAGGTTGTTTTCAATTGTTACATATTCTCTTACTTGTAAAATACTTTTTGCCTTAAAAAGATTAATGCCCATTCATAATTCATTCATGTTGTAGGATATATTTACATTGTGTGATTACTCATAATTGCACACCAATTAAAATGGTTGGTGCCATGTATAGGGTAATCATCTAATTTATGATTCAATATATTTGGTATATTTACTATGCATTTTTCACCCACACTTCAGCATCAAGGCGTACATACAGTAATTTTATAATATATGTTTGAAAGAAGAACTTTATTTTATGTTGAGTGCATATTTACAAAGGTGTGATACAAATTGATGAGATTGTTAGGCTGTTATTGCAATTGAAAAATCTAGTCCAATAGTAATCTGATTTGTTAGAAAGTTTGGTGTAAAATGTGATGAGCTTTGTTATGTTGAGCCGGTGATCATCTCAATTTTGTTTACGATTTCAAAGACCTCTTGATTAAAAGTGTGCTTGGATGTACAGTAATTGTGTGGCGTTATTGCAAGAGTTAATTTTGTGCGCAATGAAAACAGAGTAGTAACAAAATTGGAGGTTAATGTCCATAAGAGCATGGTTGTTATTGATAATTTTGGCCACTGATGATTTGAGTTCTTTTGCTGTCTTTTCATTCCTTTTTGTTGTGGCAAATTAGGCAGTCTTCTTGCCTCATTACATCATTACAAGCAGTGTTTCTCAGATGGGATTATTTCAGAATGCTAACAACTGACAAGTGTATCCCTTACAGAAATTGAGTGGAATGTAACACAAAGCATGAGGTATATTTGGGAAGGGGGTTGTGGAGGGCAGGATGTCAGAAGAGCAAGCAAAACAAACAAAAAAATGTGCTAGCTTGTTTCTTGTGTTCTTTGGCACCCCTGTTTTCAAATTGAACACCTGCAAAAGAAAGAATTTCTGTAAAAGATAAATGGCTGCTTGCAGATTTGGCATTTGCCATCCAAGAGGTAAACCCTCCCCAGTTTGATTGGAAAAGTGTTGCTTGGACTTTACAGTTAATGTATATTAATGTCTTAGATTCTTTCTGTCCAGATGAACCTAAGTTAGCCTTAAAAGTAATATTTAAGTGAATTACTCTTTGTTACTCAGAGTGCATTTGTAAGAACTGTAATTTTTAAGTTCTGTTTGTGAGGGAAAATTGATTAAGTTGTAATCATTTTCCCAAGGAGATGCAACTTTTGTTGCCTCTCCACAATGTGAGGTAGCAATTCATTTTTGTTTTGGTAGTAGGCTTAAAATTAAATGTTTAGAACTAAGGTGAAGGTGTGGTTTAATAGTAGCACCCACAATTAATCTAATTTGTAATTTGTGGGGTGTTTAAATGTGTTGAATTGTTGAATTGGCCTTCATTGGAGCTGCTACTTAAAAGTTCATTTTAATTTGAAATAATACATTTTTAGTAGAGTCTTCAGCGGATGTTGGAGGGATGTTTTTTGGACTTTTTTGAGAATCTAAGCATTTTGTGACAAGGGCTTTCATGTCCTAAATTCCTGTGTCATGTAAGACACAGGAAGGAATCTATTATCTGAAATCGCCTTGAAAGTATTGGTGTGCATACCAAGTATCATTATGAAAAGAACCATATTTATAAGTGTCGAAATCATCTTTATTGTGCCTGGTTATTTTCATAGATGACCATTTGGCAGGAACAGTTTAAAAGTGTACCGCAGATTTCACGATAAATAGTGATACATGAATGATAGGAAAGCTTTTTAATGTATTGGTAGCAGTTCCATGAAGGGTATCAGTAAAAAACCAGTTATCAGTTAAAACCGGTCAGATGTCTCCCCTTGATTTAAATTTGAATCTGTTAGCCATCGCCATAATTTAATTAAGGACAACTTTTGAAGAAGCCAGTACACAAATTTTGTCTTAGGGCCAGGTTGCACTTGAGTGAATTCAAATATTTTCCAATTTTTCGCAAATCAAAAATTGGCACAATTTTCACTTCAATTTTCCAAAGTTTGGCAGTAATCGTGTCGAACTAATATCCTTTGACCAAAACTTTACTGATTGATTCATATGTCCATCACAAAGTCATCTCTTTCTAGAAAGAGATTCAAACATGGGGTCACCCTTTTCACTTAGCAAACAAAGAAAGCTCTAGTGCAACCTGGGCCTTATTTAACACTTTTTAATAAGGCACTATTTGAAATAGCAAAACTCAAGAGAACTGAGCTTTTATTTGATATGTGTTCATTTGCTTTTGTCTTTCTCAGTGTTATTGAATTTCAAAATTTGATATGGTCAATGGTGATGCAACAGATTGAATATTTAAATAATCTGGTCAATAACTGACTTACATGGGGTGTGTTAGACCTAGTTGTACTGTATCAGCTAATTGTTACAAATAATTAAATGTAATATATTATATAACCAGTTGATTGTTCTGCTAAACTTAGCAGTGTTAGGTGTGGTAATTGCTACCTTCACGTCCTTACCACTTGTACTACTCCGACAGTTGGCATGTGAATAAAAATACTGATGTATTTGTCCATGTCACATTTGACTGAGTGTTTATATGTAGAGAATATTACTCGGACATGGGTGGAATACAAATTTTATATTTGAGTTTTGATGATGTTGCTCACAAGTGGGATAAGCAAACAAATGGCAGATATTATTGACACTTGAAAATAAAGTCTTATCTATTAACCCTTTTACTCCAAAGATCTGATTCTTAATTCTCCCTTTAGCTGCAACACTTTTCCCAGTTACTTAATTATGAGAATTTGGTGTTAAATCTAGATAACATCTTCTACCTGATAAGAGCGAGTATTCTTATTACCTGTTTGTTGGATAATGTATGGACATTTTTTAAGGAGAATTTATGTCGTAATCATGACATGATAGGCTACATATTAACCCATGTCATGGTAGTTCAACGTGTGAACAAAGTCCTTGAAGTTATCTTAATTTTTTTTGCTAATTAAGCATTTTACATTAACTGAATTCAGCTGTGATGTTTGAGTAAAAATAAAAAATGCTAAGTCGATGTACTGCCTCTTCACACGTGGAAGAGTTAAGAATTATGTCCACTGAAGGGGATGAAGATATCAAGCTTCACTTGACCTCTACAGTTGATGGTCGACATGTACAATAATGTCATGCAGCTATCAGCTTCCCATCAGCAATATGCTGCAACAGTCATTAGCAAGCTCTTGTTCATTACTGGATGCAGTGATAATTTCTTGGTTTGGATTTCAATAGATTTGTATGATAATTTGCTCGCATTAGTAGTCTGTCAACTAGCAACGGAAAATCAACCTTTCAAATTTTCTTCCTTTGCCTCTCCTTTAGTCTCTACCAGCCGATTAATTCTTTAGTTCTGCACAAGCCAGAATCACCAAATACCAAAAGGCTCCTCCCATCTCAAATCTGTCACCCACTCGTTAAAAAGGCTTTGCTAGAGCTCAGCCTAGGTACACAAACTTAGCCAAGTTTCAGTTCATTTTAGACACAATCGGCACAAGAGACACATCTCCATCAAAGTGTAGTGGACTCATATCACTTAAAGCAGGCATTAAGAGCCTCCTCTGATTAGCTTGATGTGTGAAATAAAAACTATTAATATCAACCCTTTCAACCTTCAGAAATGATGGGCAGGTAAATTCTCAATTCAGTTTTCAAACAAGCATAAGTGATTAAGTCAAAAGAGTAAAGAAAACTGTCATCAAGAGGACAATGGAAAGCAATTTAACTCTTGTATTCTCAGGACTGGTCAATAAAGCTTCACAAAAATTGGGTAATTACCTAGGAGAATTTATCTAGCTTTCATTTCTTATCAAAGCCATATCTTGGCAAGGTCCTATCATGGTAACCCTCCAGTTGTCTCAAATGCAGGTAAGTTTGTCTGGTGTCATTTTAACTTCCTGTTTGTTCAATTTTAAAAAAGTCATATTTCTGAATAAATCTCCAAGACAATGGTTGGAAATTCTTGTCATAGGTTGCCACTTTACAGAAAGACCAAGCCATTTAAAGTGCAAGAAAACCTTGAGATTGGAATTGTGAACTTTATTGGACAAATAACAGACCAACATGACAACACATGGCACTCAATTTTCCTCAAATGAAGAAGTAGAAGTGTAATTTTTTTTTCTATAGTTTTTTTTACAACTTTCATAAACTACTCTTAGGCTGGTACATTACAAAAAAACTGATGATCAGACAAATAGTTTGAGGAGGAAATGACTTACATCAAATGTTCAGGGCCCAGTTGTTTGAAGGTTAATTAGTGTTAACCCAGGGTTGAATTTTAAATCTGGGCCCCATTGTTCAAAGGCCAAACAGCACTAACACA